TTTACTTTCACACTATCTAACTATATTTTTGTACCCATTAACCATCCCTACTACCCCCACCCCCAGCCCTACTACCCTTCCCAGCCTCTGGTAACCATCGTTCTATCCTCTATCTCCATAAGAACTTTATTTCTTTTCCTTTTTTTTTTTTTTTCTTTTAAAGAGACATGTTCTTGCCCTCTTACCCAGGCTGGAGTGAGTGCAGTGGTGCAATTACAGCTCACTGCAGTCTCCAGCTCCTGGGCTCAGGGCATCTTCCTGCTTCACCCTCCCTACTAGCTGAGACTAGAGGCATGCACCACCATGCCCAACTGAAGAACTTCATTTCTTAAAGTTCCTTATTTTTCTCAGATGACAAGAAATCTGGAGATGAGATGTGCTGCAATGGGTAATGTTAATTTAGCTGCTCGATAAGATCAGCAAGTATCCCTTCCATTCTATTTTTTGCCTCCCCATCCTTAGCGTGTTGCTTTTTTTTTTTTTTTTTTTTTTTTTTTTTGAGACGGAGTCTCGCTCTGTCACCAGCACGTTGCTTTTATCCTCAGGGTTGCAAAAGTTTTCCAGGGGCTCCAGGAACCATTGCTTCATTACCAGCAGGAAGAAGAAGGTGGGGTAAAAGAATGAAGAGTGGGCCGGGCGCGGTGGCTCATGCCTGTGATCCTAGCACTTTGGGAGGCCGAGGCGGGTGGATCACGATGTCAAGAGATCAAGACCATCCTGGCTAACACGGTGAAACCCTGTGTCTACTAAAAATACAAAAAAATTAGCCCAGCCTGGTAGTGGCGCCTGTAGTCCCAGCTGCTCAAGAGGCTGAGGCAGGAGAATGGCGTGAACCCGGGAGGCAGAGGTTGCAGTAAGCCAAGATCATGCCACTGTACTCCAGCCTGGGCGACAGAGCCAGACTCCATCTAAAAAATAAAAAACAAAACCAAAAATAAAAAACAAAACCAAGAAAACCAAAAAAAAAACAAACAAAAAAAGAGTGAAGAGTAAAGAGGTTTCTCCTAAGACTTATCTATTTGTTTGGAGAAGAAGAACCCTTCACTGGAACATCTACCTATATCTTCTTTGTCAGAAATGGGGACATCTTGTCATTCATAGATGAATCACTTGCCAATGAGAATAATATTACCTGATGGGATTAGATCAATTTTTTTTTTTTTTGAGATAGAGTCTTACTCTATTGCCCAGGCCAGTGTGCAGTGGCATGATCTTGGCTCACTGCAACCTCTGCCTCCTAGGTTGAAGCGATTCTCCCAGCTCAGCCTCCCGAGTAGCTGGGATTACAGGCATGCACCACCATGCCCAGCTAATTTTTGTAGTTTTAGTAGAGATGGGGTTTCATCATATTGGCCAAGCTGGTCTCGAACTCCTGACCTCAGGTGATCTGCCCACTTTGGCCTCCTAAAGTGCTGGGTTTACAGGCGTGAGCCACTGTGCCCTGCCAGATCAATCGTTATTTGTCCTTTGAGGCTGGGGTCAAAACTCCCCTTTCCTAAAATAGGGGGGGATCTCTGCTGCTCCCTGAACCACTTGGGGTTCTGTGGTGAGGCAAGCATGGAGGGTGGGTAGTTAATTGGCAGTATCTGCTGTAATAGCTACCCATTTTTTGTTGCTTTACCTTTTCCCCTTGCTTAGCAGGATTGGTAATCCTCTTATCATTTATTTTTACCCATTATTAATTTGAAAGTTTTATAATTCTAAGTAGTGATTGCCTCTCTGTTTCTATCAGTCACAATTAAATCGCTGTTTCTTTGCTACTATATTGCTTGTAACATACTTAAAAATAGCAATGTACTCCTATATATATCTGGAGAATTACTGCTGCCATGCGCATATAGAAAAACCTGAAATTTCAGTAGATTAATATGATGAAGGTTTATTACTTAACTATTTCACGGTTTGGTGTGGATTGGGTATTTCTTCTGTGTGACTTGCTTTCAAACATTGGCTCATGGATCAGGCTGCTTTTTTCCTTGAAATTCCACCATTTATTTCCAGCTGGGTGGACAAGAGTGAAAATGTGAAGAAGGCACACCAGCTGCTAACTGTCTTAGCCTGAAAATGGCACAACAAATCCCTTCCCTGACATTCTGTAGACTAGAATTCAATCACGTGGCCCCACAGAACTGAAGGGAAGCTGAGGAATGTAGTCAGTCATCTGTGGGCTGAGGAAGAGACATGGGGTGGTGGACATTGCATTGTTACCGTCCTAAGTTGTCATTCTGGCCATCCACACATTTCCTTCTTCTCCTGCCTTAATACACTCACCACCTCTTACAGGGCACGCCTTCAGGTCCCAGCCAGTCACTGCATCCAGCTCAAAGTCCACTGTCTCTGGGGTTCTGCACTCGTCTCCATCAGGTCTGAATGTGCTGAGGAGACATCATTTAAACACCTGTCCCCACTAAGGCACTGTACACAGTGTTGGAGCAGGGTCAGAATACCCACTAAGGAAATGCCACCTGGAGAAGTGGAGAATGTGAAAGTCACAGTCTCCAGTCTGTAGCATTTCTGAAGTCCTACAGGTCAGGACCATGAAGTTTCCCTGCCTTGCAGTGAAGATAACTCCTTGAGTGAACATTGACTCCCGCCTGGATGAGGCTTTTTGTCTATAATTCCCCTCGGCCTCCTCTGAAGTGAGTGTTGAGGATCACACCCTCTAGACCAGTGAAGCCTTTGAAACCTGCCTACTGGTCATCAGACTTGGATGCCCAAGGGCCATTTAAGACATGAACAACCAAAGATTTTTTAATCCAGGCTCAAAAACTTAGGTGGCTTCTGTTTGCTTCCATGTCCCAGTAACGGCATCTAAAATTCTTTTCTAGACATATTTCTCAACTTGACATTCTTCCTTTGCCCCTTCACCTTTGCGCCTCTCAGTTTCACCTGAAGGACATCTTCCTTGAAGCTTTTTCTAAAAATAAGTGTGAGAGATCACACTTTTTTTTTTTTTTTTGAGACAGAATCTCGCTCTGTCGCCCAGGCTGGAGTGCAGTGGTGCAATGAGAGATCACATTCTTAATGTGGCTGTGTCAGTCTGGTTTCTCCGAGGAGTAGAGACAGGATGGGATTAATCATGCAAGGTTTTATTAAGGGAAATGTCTGGGAAAGAAAAAGGGCAGGGAGCTGGAGGAGGCTGAGGGAGTCATTACAAGCTTGACCTTGAGTGAAGGAGAGGGCAAGGGACAGTGGGTGGGGGTGTTGTAGGCAGTTGTGCAGTCCAGGGAAAGTGATCTTTCGGCAAGGAGGTGGGCGTCTCCTGGGAATGAGCCTGGCATCCTCAATAAAAGGCTGAGCAGCCTCTGGGAAGCAGGGCCTTGGGCAAACGCAAGGGCACAGGAGTTGCGGGGCCTGGTCAGTGATGCTCCCTGTGGTTGAAGGTGGACGGAGCACATCCTCATGGTCACCACAAGAACTTCACAGAGCCTGACCTGCAGGTGCTGTGTGCCCTTCATCACTTTATGCACTTTAGAAGTTTTCCTGTGCTCTGTCATGCAAAACCTTTAAAAATCCCATCTCTTGCAATGTGGGTCCTGCTATGTGATGAGATGCTTTTTCCAATCCTACAACATCTCAAATTTCTGTATTTGCTCTATTCCCTTTTCATTTCAGCTTGCAAAGCACTCAGTTCTTTCTTGAATTCGTTTCTTTCTCTTAACATCTTGCCAAACACAGTCACTAGCAACCAACGCTTATTCCTCATGTTCTATTTTTCAACCTCCTCCCTTAGAATGAAAAGTTCAGAAAGCATGGCGTCTGCCTTTGAAGTTACAGTGTCTATCTAGCTTTTTAAGTGAATGTTTTGCTGCTGCATAACATGGATCTCTAGCCTGTTAAATATCACTCACCACCCAACTGCTATGGCAGTAACACAGTTTATATTTCTGTTTCAGCAGCACCCTGCTTCTGGGATACATTTTCATTTTAGTCCTGTCATCAGTGGAATCTGCTGCAATAGGCAAACTGAGAAATCTCAGTGGCTGAATTTAACACATGCTTATTTCTTGCTAGTGTTACAGTCTGTTGTGGGCCAGGGAGACTCAGGGCCCCAGGCTGCGTCATCTCATTCCACCACCTGATTCCTTGTTTCTAGCCAGTGGACGTGAAGGAGAGAGTGCAGAGCGGGCCCACTATCTCCTAACTGCCCTGGCCAGGGAGTGACACAAGTTTCTTCCTTCAGAGAGTGCTGCAGTGTCCCTTGATGTTCTTGTAGCAAAGTCCAGAGCTCGTACTGCTCACAACACAACAGCCAATAAGTTGAGAGACAAGGTGTGGGGCAAGGAAAGCAACTTTATTTCGGAGACCCAGCAAACCGAGAAGATGGCAACTAGTGTCCTAAAGAACCTCCTAAGCTAATATGAATTTTGGGTTTCTTTTATGTTAAGGGAAGGGGGAAGAGGTGGGGGGTTGACATGGAAGGGTGAGTAATGACTGTGGACATCTGGGTGGCAGCGAGGGTAAACTTCTTTGTCCTTAGTCAGGTCACAATGCTCTTATACATTTTTAACATGACATTGTTACTTGTGTGTACACCCTCTTTGTCTCCTGAGGGCTTCGTTTTGGGGAGGGGCTATTATCATCCATGCTTTAAACTATACACTAAATTCCTCCCATTGTTAGCTCGGCCTATGTGCGGAGGTAAGCAAAAGCAGTTAACCTAAAAGATATCACTGCTGGGGCCGGGAGATTAGGAGTAAATTGGAGCTAGTCATCCTCGGCCTCCTTTTCACTGTACATTCTCTCTGCTGGAGATAGAAAGAGAGCTCAGTCTTGGACGCCCACCCCTGCAGGGTGGTGTGGCTCTTGCATTTCTCTCTAGAGGAATAGGGAGTGGGAGATGGTTGTGGACCTGCCAGCAGGCCAGTGTCTCACTGGCATTCTTTTTGTAGATGACAGTGTTCTGTAGTGTGATGTGATGGTTGTGTACCACTTGGCAGCTTAGGTCATTCCTTACTGATTGGAAATGAAACCTGTTTCTTCTTCCTTCTATTGTGAAGCAGCAAGTGACAAGCACATCCAATGGCTCCTAGGGGCAGATGGCGAGGTCTGGGTCTGGATCATGGGAGAAGGCCCTGGTGACAAGCCCTACGAAGCGATCTCTGAGGAGCTGATTGCAGAGAGGGCGCGGCTGCAGGCACAGAGGGAAGCTGAGGAGCTCTGGTGAGGGTTGCTATGGGGTGTTGGGTGGGGCCTGGGCATGGAAGCTATGCTTAGCCCCCTACACGGCTAATTCTTGTATTTTTAGTAGAGACAGAGTTTCATCATGTTGGCCAGGCTGGTCTCAAACTCCTGACCTCAGGTGATCCACCCACCTTGGCCTCCCAAAGTGCTGGGATTACAGGCGTGAGCCACCACGCCTGGCCTTAATGATGGTATTTTAATTGAGAAATTCTAAAATCATGTAAACAATACTGAAAACTATACAAAATAAAGAACAATTCACACCCACCCCCTAAGGTAACCACAGTGAATGTTTAGTTAATACATGCTTTGTAAATTGTTTTATTCACACCTTGACAAATTGACTTATAGATCCAAAACGCAACTTAAGATTACTATATGGTACAGGTATTTATTATAGGATATGAGAAACCAAACTTATTGATCTTATTGATGGACATTTGGATTGTTTACCATTTTTTATATTATAAAAATCCTCTGACAAGCATCTTTTACATGCATCTTTGTTTTATTATAAATTTATTATTTATCATTTTGTTTTGTTTTTTTGAGACAGGGTCTCACTTTGTTTCCCAGGTTGGAGTGCAGTGTCATGATCAAGGCTCACTGTAACCTTGATCTTCTGGGCTTAAGTGATCCTCCCTCCTCAGCCTCCTGAGTATCTGGGACACAGGTGCATGCCACCAGACATGGCTAATTTTTTAAATTTTTAGTAGAGATGGTGTCTCACTATGTTGCCCAGGCTGGTCTTGAACTGGCTTCAAGCGATCCTCCTGCCACTGCCTTCCAAAATAATGGGATTACAGGCACGCACCACCATGCCTGACCTACATGCATCCTTGTACACTTGCGTGAGTGTAGAAAATCTAGGAAACGGGGTTTCTAGCATAGTTTTCCTGGCTTCCAGAACAATTGTGCCAATTTACACTCCCATGCTTGAGACTGCCTGTTTCTCCCTGTCTTTGCCAACATTGAATTCTGATAGAACAAGGAAAAATTGCTCATTGTTTTTATTTCAAGTTCTATTGTCATGTGGCCTTCAGTTTTTCACACAAGCTTATACCTGTGGTGCTCTCTTGGTAGGAGACAGAAGGAGGCAGAGATCACCAAGAAGTTCCGGGATGCTCTGGCCAACGAGAAAGCCCGGATCTTGGCGGAGAAGTGGAAAGTGGAGATGGAAGACCGCAAGGCGGCCAAAGTCTTGGAGGAACGCATCCAGGAGGAATTCAAGGTGGGCCAGTGCATAGGGCCCCTGTGTGCGGCCAACTGATTAGCCCCGAGACCACTGGGACTGGCCTCTGGTTTGGATCAATCCTTGGCCATTGGTTGGTACTGGGTGCTTTATGAGAATAGAAATCTGTCATGTCTGAGCAGGAAGGACATTGACACACCATTTGGGCCAATCCACTTCTTATTTTACAGATGAGGAAACTGAGGGTCAGACAGAAGAGACTTGGCCAAGTTCACAGGTAGTAGTGGTTAGGGATAGAGTCAGGATCAGAACTGGGGACTTTTGCATCCCAAACCACTGGTCCAGAAATGAGGCCTTGTTTGGAATATTCAGGTAATAATAACACTCTTCTGGAAATATTTATGAGGATTCAAGGAGATGATATAGTCACATTTTGTGGTCTAGGATAAGGACTTATTGGTCTATTGACAGGTGCTGGTTAGAACAAATAGTAGGTTTTCTGGTAACATTGAGCTTTTTTGTTTTTTTTTGAGACGGAGTCTCTTTCTGTCGCCCAGGCTGAAGTGCAGTGGCCGATATCCGCTTGCAGCACTGCAAGCTCCGCCTACCAGGTTCACACCATTCTCCCACCTCAGCCTCCCCAGTAGCTGGGACTACAGGCACCCGCCACCACACCCAGATAGTTTTTTGTATTTTTAGTAGAGACGGGGTTTCACCGTGTTAGCCAGGATGGTCTCGATCTCCTGATCTCATGATCCACCCACCTCAGCCTCCCAAAGTGCTCGATTACAGGCGTGAGCCACCACACCCCAGTCAACATTGAGTTTTTTAATGGAGGTCTAGAGTCATCCTAGGGACATGACCTTATACTGCTAGAAGCCATGGCCAGAGTTTGATGGAGTTGTTACCTGTGTGCAGAGAGTCATGCAGCTTTCAATATACTCATGGCATTTTCCCATTTAAAAAATTTTAAAACTTTGTTTTGCCCCCATACTAATTAGATAGTGGGGACATTGGCCTTTTCTTTTCTTTCTTTCTTTCTTCTTTTTTTTTTTTTTTTTGAGATGGAGTCTCGCTTTGTTGCCCAGGTTGGAGTGCAGTGGCACAATCTTGGCTCACTGCAACCTCTGCCTCCTGGTTTCAAGCGATTCTTCTGCCTCAGCCTCCTGAGTAACTGGGAGCACAGGCATGCGCCACCACGCCCGGCTAATTTTTGTATTTTTAGTAGAGACGGGATTTCACCAGGTTGGCCAGGCTGTTCTCGAACTCCTGACCTTGTGATCTGCCTGCCTCGGCCTCCCAAAGTGCTGGGATTACAGGCATGAGCCACCATGCCTGGCCAATGTTGGCCTTTTCAAATCATGTATGTTGCAAATATTTTTATCAGCGTTGTTTTTTTCTTAAATTTGGTTTCACTATTTTCAGATGTACATAGGATTGAACTTTTAATTGGCTAAATCTATCAGTCTAGTTTTTTTTCATTATTTGCTTCATGCTTAGAAGGATCTGTGACATCACAAGCTTTTAAAAATCTACATTGTTTACATGTCTTTCCTGATTTTATTTCTCTCCAACTAGTTTTCCTTCACTTTGGAGGGTATTGTAATAGAGGGCTCTTACTTTATTTTCTTCCAAATGGTGAGCCAGTAGTTCCCATATTATTTATTATGTAATCTGTCTTTTCCCTTCTCATTTGACTTGCTGCCTTGATTGGATTCTTACTTTTTACTTACTTGTGGGCCTTTTTGTGGGTTTTCTTCTCTGATTTATTATTCCTGAGCCAGACTTAATTGTTTAATTATTGTAGCTTTAAAATAAATTTTAACATCTGTTAAGGTAAGAACCCTACCATTACTCTTCATTTCCAAAATGTCCTTGGCTAATCTCACCCATTTTTTTTTTTTTTTCTGCCAGGGAAACTTGAATTATTTTATCATTATCTCCCATCCTCTTAACAACAAAGACCTCGGTGACTTTCATTAGAATTGCATCAATTTATAGCTGTCTTTGTGAAAAATAGACATTTTTACACTACTGAATCATTGAATCTTCTTATTCAGAAGTATGATATGTTATTCAAAGCTTCTTTTTGTCTTTGCTAATTTTTTAAAACACCTTTAAAGGTGCTGACCACCTAATCCCAAACTTTTTCAATAACTTTTATCTATATACCTATATGCTTCTGCTTTTTGGACCTTGGTAAAATTTATTTTCTTTAAATGCTATTTTTCTTTGAGATAGGGTCTCACTCTGTTGCCCAGGCTGGAGTGCAGTGGCACAATCTCAGCTCACTGTAACCCCTGTCTGGGCTCAAGTGATTCTCTCACCTCAGCCTCCCAAGTAGCTGGAACTGCAGGCATGCACCACCATCACACTCAACTATTTTTTGTGTTTTTTGTAGAGACAGGATTTCACCATGTTGCCCAGCTGGTCTTGAACTCCTGAGCTCAAGCCAACCACCTACCTTGGCCTCCCAAAGTGCTGGGATTATAGGTGTGAGCCACCACGCCTAGCTATACATTTCTTTTTTAGTTAAACTTTAGGTTTAATATTCGTTGTTGCTATTGTGAATGAGATTGTACCCATTATTTTTAAACCTATTGCGCTTGCTAGTTATATATTTGGATCCACAGCCAGTGGTTGAGACCCTCAGTGAACCTGAGAGTCTGGCCAGATGGCCCTAGTGATCCACCATGAGTGTTATTATTCTCCTTGTTTAATTTTCCCATGAGTTGTAAATTTTTTAGCAGATTTTCCTGAGTTTTTATTATTAATTAATTAATTAATTTGTTTGAGATGGAGTTTTGCTCTTGTCGCCCAGGCTGGAGTGCAGTGGTGCAATCTCGGCTCGCTGCAACCTCCACCACTCAGGTTCAAGTGATTCTCCTGCCTCAGCCTCTCAAGTAGCTGGGATTGCAGGCACCCACCACCATGCCCAGTTAATTTTTGTATCTTTAGTAGAGATGGGCTTTCACCATATTGGTCAGGCTGGTCTTGAACTCCACCTACCTTGGCCTCCCAAAGTACTGGGATTACAGGCATGAGCCACCGTGCCTGGCCTCTTGTGAGTTTTTTTTTTTTTTTTTTTTTTTGAGACGGAGTCTCGCTCTGTCGCCCAGGCTGGAGTGCAGTGGCCGGATCTCGGCTCACTGCAAGCTCTGCCTCCCGGGTTTATGCCATTCTCCTGCCTCAGCCTCCCGAGTATCTGGGACTATAGGCGCCTGCCACCTCGCCTGGCTAGTTTTTTGTATTTTTTAGTAGAGACGGGGTTTCACCGTGTTAGCCAGGATGGTCTCGATCTCCTGACCTCGCGATCCGCCCATCTCGGCCTCCCAAAGTGCTGGGATTACAGGCTTGAGCCACCGCACCCGGCCTCTTGTGAGTTTTTTAAATGGAGTATAATGTGGAAAACAGTATTTGGAAACAGTATTTACCCTCCACACATTTTATTTTTTTTAAATTTCAAACATGAAGAAAAGTTGAAAGAAAAAATAAAATGAATACTCACATATTCTCCTTTTAAATTCACCAATATTAACATTTTAACACATTTGCCTTCTCTCTCGGGCAAATGTGGTGAAATGTTAATAATTAGTGAATTTAAATGGAGAATATTTATATACTCACACTCATATACACTTTGTTGTTGCTATTGTTTTACTAAACAATTTTAATGGAAGTCATGGATGATGATACTCTAACCCAGGGGTTGGCAAACTATTTTCTGTAAAGGCCCAGATAGTAAATATTTTAGGCTTTGGGAGCCAGCTGTCTCTGTCACACAACTACTCAACTCTGCTGTTGTAGCACAATAGCAGCTACCGACAATATAGAAACAAAAGGATGTGGGCTGGGCACGGTGGCTCACACCTGTAATCCCAGCACTTTGGGAGGCTGAGGCGGGTGGATCACTTGAGGTCAGGAGCTGACATGGTGAAACTACTAAAAATACAAAATAGTAAAAATACAAAAATTAGCCAGGCCTGTAATCCCAGCTATTCATGAGGCTGAGGCAGGAGAATCGCTTGAACCCGGGAGGCAGAGGTTGCAGTGAGTGGAGACTGAGCCACTGCACTCCAGCCCTGGGAGCCTTAGTTTGCAGATTCCTGATCAAAACCTAAGAAGTTCAGCATGCATCTCCTATGAAGAAGGACATTTCCCTCCACAGCCACAAAAGTCATTATCACACCTATTGAAATGAACAATAACTCCATGATAGTATTTCGAATCCAACCCACAGTGGAGAGATACTTAGTTTATGTTGCTGGGTTTTGCATATGATTATTTAAGTCTGCTGGGGAAGAAAAGCAATTATTTTTATCTCTTTCCTAACCATGAGAGCACCTGCTCTAATTTCTGGCCTTCCTCTTCCCCAGATGGGGGCTGAGCTCCAAATACTGGAAGAGTGGCTCTGTGGAGCTGGAGTCCTGGGGCTCAGCTCACGAGGAGGTCATGAAGGGATTAAGGTATGCGTGGAGGTTTTCTGCTCAGTGGTCTCCTTGAGAACCTCAGTGACAGAGTGGGTGAGAAATTGTGAGATGTTCTATGCTGGGGCTCACGAAGGATCACTAGGGCCATCTGGCCAGACTGTCAGGTTCACTGAGGGTCTCAACCACAGGCTGTGGATGTTATTGCCAAGGAAGGTTATGACTATTATGTGCTTGTTTTGGTTCAAATATTAATTTGCTAAATGTGAATGTTTAAACTTTGTTAGAAATAGTGATCCTGATTTGGTATGTCTTCATTTTGAAGAGCCTCAGAAATGCCTTGGAGAAGCTCATTAGAGCAGTGTTAACAACATTAGAACAAGCACTGTGCAGTTGAATGATCCAGGTTCATGAGCGGAGGTATTTTCTGTTCACTCTGGCTGTAAGTGCACTGCCCTTTTGCTGTGTGGAACTCTTCATCACAGGAAATAGTTAAGCCTAGGCTGAAACATGATCTGAAAGGTTTCTGTGGTAGGTTAAATGGGATTTGTGGCAAATTGTTTGCCCCTCCTCCCTTTGAGAGGTGGGATCTAGTCCCCCTCCCCTTTTGGC